TTGTTCTCTGAGCTGGATGGCTTTAGTTTCGGAATCCTTGGCAATGCAAGTGCACGAACTGATTATGGAAACTCAAATGCAAGATCTCCGATATCCCGAACGGAGAGTTAAGTTGTTGACCACTAGGCTGGGATTAAATAGTTCAAATCCTAATTTCAAACAATCTGCATTACTGAGAGATAACTTTTCATTGTTTTCTTAGCGTACCATCCTTACACCTGACACGAGTAAGTTCCTCTGGTCATGACTTGTTATTAGAGCACTTGAAATTTTCTCTCAAATCTAGTTACTAGTGAGTACATGAAAACAATTAGTATGGGATCGGTTCGTGATTAAAATAAAACCAAACAACCATCACAATACAGAATAAATTTTCACTATTTTTTTAATTCTGTAACTACATTAATAACGTGATTGGAAGAAACTACATGGTACTAGAAATCGTATAATAAAACATTGATCAATGAATGTTGACAGACTGCTTATCTGAATTGTACTAACTAATCACCAACTATGAAAATGATAAATTTACTGTGTAACGTGGTTAAGATTAATAAGAAAGTTTCTCTTACGTCTACATTTAGGAGAAATTATTTAATTCAAAGAATAAGTGAAATGTTTACTCATTTTAAAGTGAAATACAACCGATATATTGATCACTATGATCTATTTTTCTTTATACGAAAGTTAACTCACCAATGTAAATCATGTTACAATAAATGAACTAAATATAAGACATTCTTATGACATGCAACTGCTTAAGCACATGACAGCAATTATGGTTATATAAGCAAAGATGGATGGTTGCTAGCGGTGGGATACAGGACGTGCGTTTCGTCTTGTTTAAGACTCGTCAGCTGTATGTACCTGCATCTCAGAGGTGTGGTTCACTATGAGACACGAAATCTGTACTATTCGCTACAAACACCATCATGTTATCCACATAGCAGTCCTAAACATCAATGGTATGATCCAGACAAACAATACAGATATGAATTAACACTTCATACAATTGCACAAGCTACTGGCCATCTGAACTCGGTATCTAACGGGATAAAGCGACGGCGTCCGAAGAAAATAAAATGAGTCTAGGAGTGAACCCCAACTCTGAAATGCAGTTACACAAAGCTAACGAGTCCCCAATAGGAAAAAACGCGTGTCCTGGATTTCAATGCTAACTACCGTCCATCTTTGTTCATATTGTTTGTGATTTAGACAATATCAAGGCAATCTGCACAGAATGTACATATACCAATGAAATACCGATCGATTGTAGTCCTGATCGTCAACCGGAAGATTCAAACAAACAGTCAGTCAGTAACAACGTAGAACTTCGTACGTACGTACATCAGTTCAAGTTGCCATACCACATTAGCACAGAGATGCAGTGGTCGATTCAAATCCCGTAGTGGTAGAGGTAATAAGAGTATAAGCAGTAATCGGGAAGATTAGGGTTTGGAGATGTTATTTAAAGAGTATAATACAGTGAAATAAATTTGTGAAGAGGAAAAAGAGACAAGGAGGAATCAGGAGATTAGAATTTGGAAGAACACAAAGAGTGGATGCACCTGCGCCATTGCAAACGATTTTGAGCCATGTCATTCAGGGTCTTTAACCATCGGTTGCAATCATCTCGTGGTCCCCAACAAGGTAGTCTACACCTACCAACATGACTCAGTTAAATTGTCAGTGACTTCATGGACTTGTGCCATGTTTTCATCTGGCTGCCCCTAGCTTTCTTCCAACCTACTCCTGTACCATTGAACATCGCACGTCGAGGCAGTCGGTGGTTAGGCATACGTAACACGTGTCCCAGCCATCACAACTGATGAAGTTTCACTACTTCATCATCCTTACCTACTAACCGTTTCCTAACAACTGCGTTACTTACTCGATTACTTACTTACTTACGCCTGTTACTCCCAATGGAGCATAGGCCGCTGACCAGCATTCTCCAACCCACACTGTCCTGGGCCTTCTTTTCTAGTTCCATCCAATTCTTGTTCATTTTTCTCATGTCTATCTCCAGTTCTCGGCGTAATGTGTTCTTTGGTCTTCCTCTTTTCCTTTGACCTTCAGGATTCCATGTGAGGGCTTGTCTTGTGACGCAGTTGGGTGCTTTCCTCAATGTGTGTCCTATCCACTTCCAGTGCTTCTTCCTGATTTTTTCCTCCACCGGAATCTGGTTTGTTCTCTCCCACAGTATTTTGTTGCTAATAGTGTCCGGCCAACGGATCTGAAGTATTTTGCGTAGACAACTGTTAATAAACACCTGTATTTTCTGGATGATGGCTTTTGTAGTTCTCCAGGTTTCGGCTCCATACAGTAGAACTGTCTTGACATTTGTATTGAAAATCCTGACCTTGGTGTTGGTTGACAGTTGTTTTGAGTTCCAGATGTTCTTCAGTTGTAAATATACTGTTATTGTTTTACCGATCCGCGCTTTCACATCTGCATCAGATCCACCCTGTTCATCAATGATGCTGCCCAGATATGTAAAGGTTTTTACATCTTCCAAATCTTCTCCGTCAATTGTGGTTGGATTGGTGCATGCTGTGTTGTATTGGAGAATCCTGCTTTTCCCTTTGTGTATGTTGAGACCTACTGCTGCTGAGGCTGCTGCCACACTGTTTGTCTTCTCCTGCATCTGTTGTTGCGTGTGGGATAGAAGGGCCAGATATACGAGCAGTGTTTCAAAGACACCTATGATCAAATACTAGTAACGGAAGAATATCCTCTACTCTTACCGGCCATATTTTACTGCCACAAATTAGGACGGAACGAACTGCCGCGCAGTAAACCCGTCCTTTGGTTGATAGATGGATATCTCGCCTAGGCCATAAATGACGCAAGTTGGCAAAAGCTAGTCGAGCCTTCTGTATCCGTGCTGAGATTTCGTCACACACCAGATCACAAGGGCTGATGAGACTTCCCAGATAAGTGAAGTGGTCGACACGCTCAACTACTTCACTCTCTATCATTAGTTCGGGTGTCAATGCGAACCAAACATGAAGCAACATTTTGCATTTCGAGGGGGAGAATCACATGCCGAACATGCTTGCATTGTTGCTTAGTGTGGTGAGAAGACTGCAGTTTGGTCAGCGTCTTCACCAAATAAAACTATGTCATCGGCATATTCCAAGTCAACAAGTGAATCTCCTGGTAGAAGTTCAACCCCTGGAAATTAAGACGAAGAAAGTGTTATCTCTTAAAGCACGTCAATGACAAAGTTAAACAAGAATGGAGAGAGTGGGCAGCCCTGACGAACACCACTTGAGGTAATCAATTATGATGACAGTTCGCCATCAGCTCTTCCTCGACTAGTTGTGTTCGAGTAGAGAGCCTTTATAAGGTTAATGTACTTCTTTGGTACTCCTTTCAGTGACAAACACTGCCATAGAACCTTACGATCAACAGAGTCGAATGCCGCCTTAAGGTCGAGAAATACTATCATTGTGGGGCGTCTGAATGTGTGTCTGTGTTCTAGAACCTGGCGTAGTGTGAATATCTGATCTATACAACCAAGTCCAGGTCGAAAACCAGCCTGATTTTCTCTAGTTTGCTCTTCACGAGCTTTTATTAGGCGTCGAAGTATTATTGAGGCTAATATTTTAGACAATATATTAGTCAAAGTGATTCCTCTGTGATTGTCACAAGAGGACTTTTGTCATTTATTATAGACTGGCACAATCAAAAATTGAGACCAGTCAGATGGGATTGCGTCCAGTTCACAAATTCTACATAAAACCTCAGTTTATCTCACTGCTAATACTGGACCACCATCCTTAAAAATGTCAGGAGTGAAAATGTCAGGGCCTGCTGCTCTCCCTCGCTTCAGATTTCCGATAGCATTTTCAACTTCATAAAGAGTCGGAGGACCTAAATTACCTTGACTGGAGATCGTGAATGAAATACAGCTATAGGTTGTTAAATATTTATTCCAAGTGTTTCCTCAATACTACACTGGCTTTGAAAATAATATAGGACAAATAAACTCGCATTGAAATTATTAAGCAAAGTAAAACCCCAAAAAATTTAGTCGAAATATATAGCTTACTTATTTGAACATAAATTTGGTGATTATTAACCTAAAATGGTGTGGAAAATAAGACCTAATTATAGGATATTCAAATTTATCCCATAACTTCTTTCATCAAAACAAACTGATAACTCATAAAGTTATTCAGTTCATAAGTATTCTATTATCAAAACATATCATTCATTCATTCATTCATTCATTCATTCATTCATTCATTCATTCATTCATACATTCAATTCAATTCAATTCACTTCAATAACAACTATCAACAATATATAATACAACATTTACAATTCACGCAAAACAAACACGATTACAATAACAACTTCAAAATCACATCATCTCATCAATTCTACACTATCACAAATCTCATCATACACATAATACATAAAATACAAATTCATTCAAAATTATATCAAACTGATCACAGTGTGACAATATATGGAAGTGACCAGTGTGAACACAGATACCAGTCAAAATTCCAATCAATCTCAATTGTCATCGCATCAATAACACAACATTCATCACTCACTAATATTCATTGAGTCAATTATCATCAACACCAACATCGATGCAAATCACATCATCACTCCCCTCCACTACACTATGTAAAAACATGAATGAGCAACAAATCAATCACAAGGTCACTTCGCATGCATTTGTGGTGGTATCTAATACTCTAATCGTTCAACATTCACATTACTGACGTCACAGTTTCTCATTATTTCATAAAGTCAGAGAGCATGGATGGTAGAGCATTCTCAATGTAGCAGCATCTAGTTGGTCAATCAACAATCCGTATTCAATGTGTGTTCATTCGCATGTCAGTCAATGATAAAAAAAAATCAATTCATGCCTAATTGTTGACAATTCCTATTGTATATGTCTGATAATCATGTACACACAAATGATCGGATTCACATGCATATTCGTGAATTGGTACAGTTGACTGTCTACTCACCGATGAATTGTGGTGTGTTCAAATGATCACGAGATCAGTGAGATTTGGAATGTAGTCAATGGTGTTGTGACGAATTGTGAAGTGTTATTCTGTATTGAATGTTTCCAGTGATTGCAATTTCAAATTGATAGGAAATCGAACAAACTGTGTGAATCTGTGTGTATTGAGTTCACTATTACACGATGTGAGTTTTGGTGTGATTGTGAAGTATTCACAGAAAGTCTCAAGAATTCAAGGATCGCAAGCATATCTGCAAATCGCATGAACATGAAATTCTGCTTGTCATTCAATATTTGTTTTGTTTATCAATATTAATGGTCAATAATAAAATACTCAAACAAGGATAGAGTGTAGTGGGAAGTGAACAATATTATTGATCATTTATTCTTCTCAAATATTTGTTTCAAGCATTGGAATATCACACATTATCTGTGTATGTTTGTAGAAGGAATAGCTGAAAATAATGAAAACAGAACTAATTGGTTAAACACAGTTGTGAATGTGTTCTCCATAATAATGAAGTATGTAATATGATTTCCTGATAAATTTCTTTTGTTAGTCAATCATTCAGAATCTGATAGAAAAAACGAAATAAAAACTGTACATTGATATCTCACATATATATATTCACGTATGATCATTTGCCACATGATATATTCAGAAAACAGTATGAAGAGTTAAACTGATGGATTCATAATTTTATGTTATTCACTATAAACCTTCTGTATCGTTTGGCTAACCGATAATCAAATATGTATAGTGGCTATCAGTGGAATCGAGGACGTTTGTCTCATTCTATTCAGTACTCGTCAGCTGCATGTACCCACATCTCAGATTTGATGTTCACTATGAGACTCAAACCCTGTACGGTTCGCTTCAAAGGCCATAGCTTTATCCAGTTAGTTTCTGAGTCCTGATATCCAATGCCCACCGTATATATATGCCAATAAGAGATTGATGATTTGCCGTCTTAAACATCCAGTAAACAATATCAAGTGAATTTAACCGATAGTCAGTTTTAATTTTGTTGTCCGTTTATGTATTTCCCAGTGGCCCATGCTCCATCGGGAGCAACAGGCATAAGTAAGTATGTAGGTATTTCCATTGCTGGACAATCAATCAATCTGAATTTTTATCTATACATAATCATTTACTATTGTAATAAAAAAGTCACAAATAGTTTTGTCAAATCCAAGATTTTACCTGATTACCAGAAAGTTTATGAATATTTCAATTAATAAACTTTATTAATTAGACCGGACAACAAAATAGCACGCATAGATCATGGATACTGAAAAGATGCAAGAAGTTTGAAAAATAGCTCAGTATTATAAATGTAACATGTTGGCAAGAACATCTAACTGTTGCATTTTCGAGCTCCAATCAAGTTTTTCATGCATGTTTTTGAGAAGCTCCAATTGTTTAATTCCGTTTGTTACAGTCGCACATGAAACCGAAGGTCTTCGGTTCCGATCCTGCATGTGAGATCGTGGATGCACAATGTTGAGGAGTCCCATAGTAAGACGAAATGGCAGTCCAATGCTTCCAGGTTTTCAATGCTTGTCTAACCTTAATTCGTTCATGATCACAATGTTATTTAGTATTAAATTTGTACTTCTGTTAAACGAATCGATTTTCGCATGAATTTTAGTCAATATTTTGTATACATCGTTACATATTTAAAACAGAATTATTAATCCACTTTCATGAAACAAACTTAATTTGTTAATTAGTTTTATTAGATGAAATATTTTAATCAATAATTTGAACTAAGTTTATTTAGAGGGAGTAATTCCAATGAAATCAAGAAATCCCAACAATAAACGATTTTCTTTTTTACAAAGATATAGTAGCTGAGTGGATAACGCGATGGCGTTTGAAGCGAACGGTACTGGGTTCGAGTCGCAGAGTGAACATCAACTCTGAGATACAGGTACATCCAGCTGACGAGTCCCGAATGGGACGAAACGCGAGACCTGGATTTCACTTCTAGCCACTATCCATCATTTCTTACAAAAAGATATAGTATTTTTATTATGTTTCTAAATAAATTTTAATACAAACACGACAAGGGAATTGATGAGAAAGAAATATTTGGTGGTTTATATTTTGAAAATTTTCCCAGAGAACATGATCATGATGTGTAATATTCATTCGATAAGAGTAAAATTCACATATCCTGTTACATACTTACCCACGCCTGTTACTCGCAACGGAGCATAGGCCGTCGACCAGCATTCTCCAACCCACTCTGTCCTGGGTCTTCCTTTCTAGTTCGATCCAACTGTTCATTCTTCGCATGTCTGTCTCCATTTCTCGGCATAATTTGTTCTTTGGTCTTCCTCTCCTCCTTTGGCCTTGGGGATCCCATGCGAGGGCTTGTCTTGTGACGCAGTTGGGTGATTTTCTCAGTGTGTGTCCTATCCACTTCCAGTGCTTCTTCCTGATTTTTTCCTCCACTGGAATCTGGTTTGTTCTCTCCCACAGTACGTTGTTGCTAATAGTGTCCGGCCAACGGATCCGAAGTATTTTGCGTAGACAACTGTTAATAAGCACCTGTATTTTCTGGATGATGGCTTTTGTAGTTCTCCAGGTTTCCACTCCATACAGTAGAACTGTCTTGACATTTGTATTGAAAATTCTGACCTTGATGTTGGTTGACAGTTGTTTTGAGTTCCAGATGTTCTTCAGTTGTAAATATACTGTTATTGTTTTACCGATCCGCGCTTTCACATCTGCATCAGATCCACCCTGTTCATCAATGATGCTGCCCAGATATGTAAAGGTTTTTACATCTTCCAAATCTTCTCCGTCAATTGTGATTGGATTGGTGCATGCTGTGTTGTATCGGAGAATCTTGCTTTTCCCTTTGTGTATATTGAGATATACCGCTGCTGAGCCTGCTGCTACACTGGTCGTCTTCTCCTGCATTTGTTGTTGCGTTCGGGTAAGAAGAGTCAGATCATCTGAGAAGTCTAGATCGTCCAATTGCATCCTAGCTGTCCACTGTATCCCATGCTTCCCCTCAGATGTTGGCATCTTCATGATCCATTCGACCATCAGGAGAAAGAGAATGGGTGAGAGTAAGCAACCTTGTCTAACACCGGTTATATGCATAAATTTATATATACACATGGAGACATTGACATGTTACTACTAGTGACCAATTAGAAAGGTATATTTTTCCTTTCTTTTTCTTTTCATTCTGAAGGAAAACAGTGAAAATAGTAATGATAAAATTGTAGTGTAATTTAAAACTTAAATTGATTGAATAATTTATGGTTAATTATCATGCAATTAGTTGGGATTTTGTTATGAATAAAAAATGAAATAAATTTTTTTTATTTTTAGAATAATCAATAACTGTAAAAAAATTTTTTTGTTTTTTACATTTTTTTTTGTAAATAAATAATTAATATTTGATTAGTTCTTATTGTAGTACATGCCTTGTGAACATAGGTCTAGATTTATTGCCCACAGTTATAAGTACTAATTATGATTGTTTTTGTTTGTTTGTAAAAGGGGTTTCCTGGATCTTTCATTAATTGATAATAATGACTAATTTTGATCAGTCAATGTTTTACAGAAATTCATCCTAAATGGATCAATTCAATATTATCAGTAGCTAACATGTAGAACTATACTGAAAATTTTTGAATGTACATCCAGCTGATGAGTACTGAATAGAACGAGACAAACGTCCTCGATTCCACTGATAGCCACTATACATATTTGATTATCGGTTAGCCAAACGATACAGAAGGTTTATAGTGAATAACATAAAATTATGAATCCATCAGTTTAACTCTTCATACTGTTTTCTGAATATATCATGTGGCAAATGATCATACGTGAATATATATATGTGAGATATCAATGTACAGTTTTTATTTCGTTTTTTCTATCAGATTCTGAATGATTGACTAACAAAAGAAATTTATCAGGAAATCATATTACATACTTCATTATTATGGAGAACACATTCACAACTGTGTTTAACCAATTAGTTCTGTTTTCATTATTTTCAGCTCTTCCTTCTACAAACATACACAGATAATGTGTGATATTCCAATGCTTGAAACAAATATTTGAGAAGAATAAATGATCAATAATATTGTTCACTGCCCACTACACTCTATCCTTGTCCGTGTGGTTTATTACTGAGAACCTATTTGAATATTCAATGCAGGTGCTGGGTTTCTTTTCAACACTGAAGTGGGACAATGAAGTTTTAATGGTAAATAAGTTGTTTCAGAAAGACAGATGATGAGCAACTTTTACTGACGATAAGGTTGTATTATGTTTCTTTTTTAATTTAGAAATGTGGTTATGTTTACATCAATTAATTTTGTGAAAGTATTCTCTATTGTCAATAAGTGGAACAAGTTTACCAATAAATTAGAGATTACAGTTTAAAATGAATTACAGACTATGATGAAGTCAGATCGTTTGAGTTACAACAGATAAGGATTTGGTGAAAATGATGTTGCTTCGAATAGATTATTGTATCAGAGTACAGAATTCCTTCTTATTACTTTTTATCCGTATATAAAATATTGTGGTATTCGGTCGGAGAGTAGGACAATTGGGTGTAATATTAAGTGAATCATAATTTAAGCGACTAGTCTGATATCTCATCACTGATATTCAGTAATATAACAGTCATTCAGTGTCATTCATGAGCAACTCATTCAATATAATTTATTTTAACTATAGGAATCCATTTGTGAGTCCACCCAAAGCGAATGCGTGATGAATGTAAAAATCAAATTTAAAATAACAAATATCTGCCTGTTATTGAAAATACGGCAAACATCGAGTGAGTCGGTAGAAATAGTCCCTGACACTCAACTAGTCATTAATATTGATAAACAAAACAAATATTGAATGACAAGCAGAATTTCATGTTCATGCGATTTGCAGATATGCTTGCGATCCTTGAATTCTTGAGACTTTCTGTGAATACTTCACAATCACACCAAAACTCACATCGTGTAATAGTGAACTCAATACACACAGATTCACACAGTTTGTTCGATTTCCTATCAATTTGAAATTGCAATCACTGGAAACATTCAATACAGAATAACACTTCACAATTCGTCACAACACCATTGACTACATTCCAAATCTCACTGATCTCGTGATCATTTGAACACACCACAATTCATCGGTGAGTAGACAGTCAACTGTACCAATTCACGAATATGCATGTGAATCCGATCATTTGTGTGTACATGATTATCAGACATATACAATAGGAATTGTCAACAATTAGGCATGAATTGATTTTTTTTTATCATTGACTGACATGCGAATGAACACACATTGAATACGGATTGTTGATTGACCAACTAGATGCTGCTACATTGAGAATGCTCTACCATCCATGCTCTCTGACTTTATGAAATAATGAGAAACTGTGACGTCAGTAATGTGAATGTTGAACGATTA